TGAGGTGTTAGTAGGTATCGGGTATGTTTCTACTGCCTTGGTTTTTCCTGGGTCTGGTTTAACTCCATCGCGTCCTACCAGTAATCCGAGAAATTTCACTTCTTTCGTTGCAAATACGCACTTTTTCAGCTTAATCTTCATTCCTGACGCAATTATGGCTTGTAGTACTTCTGTGATATCAACGAGGTGCTGCTCTGTTGATTCGGATATGATGAGTAGATCATCTAAATATACAAAAAGTCTGCATTTCACTTGCTGCTGTATATATCGTACGGCAGTTTGAAACGTGTGCGGCGCACCGCACAATCCCATCGGCATTCTTTTGTACTGATATGTTCCAGTACTTGTAGAGAAAGCGGTCAGGTATCGATCTGCGGGTTTGAGAGATATCTGGAAAAATCCGCTGATAAGGTCAAGGTTGGTGAAGTATTGAGCTCCTGCTGCCATGTCAATGATGTCGGTGATGTTTGGAATTAAATATGTCTGTTTTTCTGTGATGGCGTTGAGAGCTCTGAAGTCTGTTGTGAAGCGGAAGGAGTTATCCTTCTTTTTGACCAATACGATGGGGCTCAGTATTGTAGATGTGGATGGTTCGATTATACCTTGCGTAAGCATCCCTTCAACCTGTCGATCCACTTCCTCTTGTTTGCCAAGAGGTATTCGGAATGTTCGTGGTTTCGGAAGTTTGGCGTTCTTGACAAGTGGTATGGTATGTTGGATTGGCCCTGTGAACTTCCCTATATCGTTGTCCTCGTTGAAAAAGGCTTTCTTGTTATTTAGGATGATCTTAGTTAGAGCTATTCGTTGTTGTGGAGATAGGTCTGCCGTCCTTGTGTCCAAGTCACTAATGAAGTTTTCTTTGAATTGTGGGAAACGTTTTTCCCAGTCGGTTTCTGGTGAAGGATAAGGATCGTATGCGTGACTTGGTGTTTGTGCCTGAAGTTCCCCGGCTTCTCCGATTGTTGTTCCTGCTAGTATGTGGATATCGTCGTTTGTTTGGTTAAAAACTCTTAGCTTAGTGTCTGTTCCTGTTGGATTAATGATTGTTGGTTGGAACTGCAGCGGTCGCGTTGGATCGCTGCTAATGTGTACAGTGGTTCCGTGAGGGATTTCTTCTACTGTGAGAACCAGCGTTGTATATTTGAGTGCCGGGATGTGGGTTGATGATTTGATCTGTAATGGATATTTGTTCGTTGATACCGTATAGGGTTTTCTCGTGTTGTCTAGAAGTGGTATCGTGCATTTCCCTATAGTTAGGGTTTTTTCGTGTGGACTAAGGCATGTTTTATATCCTTTCGTGTCCAATGCTTTCATAAGATCAATTCCTATCAACACAGGGGTGGGGCAGTTGTTATCTAATGTTACGAAGAATGCGTGTCGTATGTAAATGTTGGCTATGGTAACATCAATTTGGATGGAGCCTATAAATGGTATTGTTGATCCATTGGCTGCTTTAGCTGTTGTGCGGCATTTGTTTGTTGTTCGAAGACCAAGGTAGTGTAACGTGGATTCTTGAACTATCGATATCGATGCTCCACTGTCCCATAAGGCGGTGAATATGCGATCTTCTAGTTGCACTGGAATCAGCGGTAGATGCTGTTGAGTTGCAGATGCAACGCAGATCGCAGGTAGTAGTATGGGTATATAGGTAAACAGTTTACCATAACCTAGTTGACGTTGCGTACTGAATGAATATGTTGATCCTTCTCCGTCTTCGGTGTTGTCGAGCTCTTCTTCGGAATCGGATGCTTCGGCTTGAATTGCGGTGATTTTGGGTGATGGTCTAAATCTTGGACATCCACACATGTGAATGTATAAAATACAGATGAGTATTGAACCTGCAGTACCGATGGCAATGCCAATTATCCATTTCCAGGTGTTCAGCAGGCGTAAAAATTCATTCCAACCGGATTTAGCCCAATCTGTAGTTGTTTTTATACCCTTCTCGAGCGACTCTGCTACTGTTTCTCCAATGTTGTTCAGTATTGCCTGTGACTCGTTCAGAGTATTTTCTATGAAATTTTTGATATAAAGGCCGGATCCGTTGGTTGATACGGGCTGAATAAGTAAAGATGTTGTGATCTCGTTAAGAATCGACCGATATTTTCTTGACTGGGGTCTACCGGAAATAGAAGGTGGTCGAATCTCTCCAATGTATGCGAGAGGACCGAAAATAGAATCTGCAGTGGAGTTGTTATTGTTTACATTTGTATGCGGGCATTGTATCGCTGATCCTTCTAGTTGAAGTTCTCTCGTTGCAGATTTAATATACCTGGTGGATCCATTTGTTAAGGTGACAGGTGTTTCGAAGAAACAAGTATCGTTGATTCGATGGTTGTAATAAATCTTTTGTACCTGGATCTCGTGGCATTGGTATATGTGTATCAAGGAAGTACCGATGTTTCGAGTAGCTATGTCGTATCTGTTTGTAGCGGTTCGAATGGCAACGGTTGGATTTATAGCAAATAGTGTCCTCCAAATGTAGAGCTTCTCGTTTTGGGAGTAGCAAGCTTGTTCATACGCATGTATAAAAAATGATAGAGATCTATCTCTGTTTGTTCTGGAGATGGTTAAGTTGATGGCTGGTTGTCGCAATCTGTACTCTTCGTATGGTGGAAGCTCTGATTGCGGTTGTTGTTGTTGTGCGATTTGAGGGCTGGTCCCCGCTTGGAGATCCGAGATGTTGGTGATGTGTGGCTGCTGGGGGAAAGTGATTATGTCCCCTTCGAATGTTTTGAAAGAACTCATTCCGGTGCATAGTGAGTACTGATCTCCTGCTAGTTCAGTGAGATGATATATCGCATTCTTTACGGGGATAATTACTCTGTTATCCTGAATCTGAGCTGTATAGGTACCTGCTTTCTCAATAGGGCAGTATGGGGTTGTATATGCATAGTCCCATACTATCGTATCTCCTTCTTCTGAGCAAAACAGATCGCTTTGTTTGCATCCATTAATGTTCAGCAATAATGATGAGAATACTGTTTCGTCCGAGATAACCGTTATCGTACCGGTGGTAATATAATAAACTGTACGGTTTACGATTTCGCTGTGATAAAGAGCTTTGTTTTGAGGGAGTGTCGGTTTAGTGCTGATAGTATTCGTGCTGTGATTATGGAAAGTCTGACCTAGATACAATTGAGTTTTGATAGAGTCCCAGCATTCTGTAGGCGTAGTAGAGAGTTTGTGTTGCTCTATCATTTCCGTATAGGAATGAAACATGATAGAAGTCATCTGAAACGTGAGTTCCTTCTTGGAGCATCTGTATGCTGTTTGGTAACGAGTTGTTGTATCGTTATGTCGGTAAGCTTGAATCGTTGTCGTGACTATCGAGCTTGTGCTTTTTATTTGGCAATCCAGGATCTGTGGTAAAGTTGTCAAAATTCCGTGTCGCGTAGTTGGGCTACAATCATAGAATGTTTCTGTTCCTTCCGCAATGTGCCACATGGTGGTTGTTAAGGCTATGATAAAAAGGAAGTTAACATATTTGCGGAACCTGTTCCTGTTCCGGTCTTTCCAGTGTACCCTTCTTTCAGGAGTAGCCGATCTGTTAAAACGTGGGGGATGGTAACGGGAATGCGATTCTTCTCTACGATTGTGATAGGTCTTTCGGTAGCCTTGTTGATGTCCGCGTTGCCGGTAAGAATCTCTTCCTCGTGGTTGAGTGACGTGAAAAGCATTTACTTGGTCTGAAAGAGTATGTATGGCGTGCGATATCTCCGTTAGCTGGTCAGTCGATCTCTGGTATCGTCCTTCTTCAATTCTAGCAAGTCGTACTGCTGCGTGGTATGATACTGGGTGAGCTTTTATCACTTCTTTCTTCAGGGGCGCTTGTAGTCCGCTGATGAACACGGATAACAGTGTTGGTTCTTTTATGGGTGACAAGGTAGAATATGCAATGTCAGCACGTTCTTGGCACAACCTGGCGAATTGGGATACAGTTAGATTACCTTGTTTTGAATGAACCAGTTTCTCAAATGAAGAAAAACTGTCGTCGTATTCGTGAAGATTTATCTTCATCTGGTCTATCATTCTTTCGAATGGGCCCTGTTCCTTAAGTTTCTGCTGGATCCTGTCGTATGCATCTTTTGCATCTGGTGAGTCCAGTAATGCTGGAAACAACCTCAGTGCGTCCAATGAGGTGGCGTGGCATGCATTAAGGTATGCGTTTAGACTACGCATGAATTCTGGGAAAGAATGGCTGTCGGTGAAGCGTGGAGGAGTAAGATTGGGTTTGAAGTTTCTAGGTTGGTGTTCATTTTGTGTATGTACCTGCTCCTCGGCTAGTCTTCGTCTCTTAGCTGCTGCTGATGTCGCGTCCATGTTTCTATGGCCGTAGAAATGGTATGGATCCTTCGGTCGCGTAGGGGTTACTCTCAGGAGTTCTCTGTCCTTGCAAATGCGGCAAGGCGCGACTAGCTATAGTAGCTACTTAATAAGGAAAGTGAATAGTTCAAAAAGGTGGAACCTTCACGTAATATATCAGCTAGATACTAAGAGAGAAGGTAGTTATCTTTATTCAGCTAATTAACATCAGAATATAGGACCAAGAATTGTATATCTAA